ACGTCTCTCTTTGTGACAAAACCTATTTGGGTAGTTTCAGATGTTTCTTACTTCCCTCACAGTCTTTAGGATGCTCTTTGATGTATTACCTAGAATAAAGGTTCTTCCCACAGTCTTTGCATGGCTGATTCGATGTATCACCTTGAACAGATTTTCCTCAAACGAAGATTTTGAGTTTCTTCAAACAGAGATTTGATGTATCTCTCAGTCACCGCTACATATAACTCCCTCCTTTAGAATTTCATTTCTCCACAAGTTCTTCGAAACCCTAGAGATTTCTCTGAGGTAGGCTATTGATTTTAATTTCGATTTAGATTTTAGATTCTAGATTTCAATTTTGAATTTCCATTTCAATTTTCATTTTGCAGCTAAAGATCATAACGTGTTTCAGGAGTGATTTTGAATCCTCCACGATTCCAACAAGGTATGCTGATGATTTCCATTTGGATTCAGATTTTGAGTACGATCTTATGTTTCCTTCTTGCATTGTTAGAGTGATCCAAAGTGATGATCGTATACCTCCAATATAGACTCCCATTTGTACACACTTTTGTTGATATAAACTTGTTATTTAATTTATGCACGTGTGATTTCTTTTGTAGTTAAAAATGACCAGGTCATATGGTTTTTCCTTATTTTAAGAGCAAGTGGAGAAGTGGGGTTTGTGACTGTTATCGGTCCTTTTTTTTTGATTTTCGGTTAGTGTGTTTGCCTATTTAAAAGGCCTCTGCATATTTGATAAAAATAGAATCTAGAGCTACATATTCTTCTTCATAGTCTCTATATATTATCTTTTGTTTTTCTTCTGTCAGTCATGTGTTTCTTTTCTTTTGTCAGTGGTATCAGAGCAAAAGACGGTAGTCCTGATTTCAACGAAGGCAGCAGCAGTCAAATGGCAAACAATCAAATGGCCTCTACTAACTATGTACAACCAGCAATTTCACGTTTTGATGGTCACTATGACCATTGGAGTATGCTCATGGAGAACTTCCTGAGATCCGAAGAGTATTGGCAGGTCATTGAAGGTGGTGTAGCAACACCAGGGGAAGCAAACAGCTCTGAAAGATGCACAATAAAGGGACCTGGAAGGTATGAAACTAAAGGACTTGAAAGCCAAGAACTATTTATTTCAAGCCATTGACCGATGTATCCTAGAAACTATTCTTAGCAAAGATAGTTCCAACAATATATGGGATTCAATGAAGAGGAAATACTAGGGCTCTTCTAGAATTAAGCGTGCTCAACTCCAAGCATTAAGGAGAGACTTTGAAGTTTTACAAATGAAGAAAGGTGAAGTTGTTACCGACTATTGTGCAAGGGCCATGAGTATTGCAAACAACATGCGTATCCATGGTGAAAAGATGAACGATACAACCATTGTTGAAAATCTATTGTGCTCACTAGCACCCAAATTTAACTATGTGGTGTGTTCCTTTGAGTAATCCAATGATCTAGATGAGTTGTCCCTTGATGAGCTTCAAAGCTCCTTGTTGGTTCATGAACATAAGTTGAAGAGACATTTTATTGTAGAAGAACAGGCCTTGAAAGCTTCTACGGCTTCCTACTTTAATAGAAGAGGCAGAGGAAGAGGTTAAGGAAGAGGAAGAAAAAGAGGCAGAGGTCAAGTGAACAGAGATAGTAGCAGTTACACTAACACTTTTAATGATCATTTTCCAGGCAAAGGAAGAGGTCGAGACCGTGAAAAATCTAAGATAGAATCCCTTAGATGTCACCGATATGGTCATTATGCCTCTGAATGTTATACTACGCTGCCCGACCATGACAAATCTAAGGTAGAATGTCTTAGATGCCATCGATATGGTCATCATGTTGTTGTATGTTATACCAAGTTGCCTAATATCAAAATGAAAAGGAAGACCTCAAATTTTTTGGAAGAAACAAAGGAATAAGAAACTTTGTTGATGGTTGTCCATGAAGGAAAGAAGAGTGAACCAAAAACCTGGTTCGTGGATACAGGTTGTAGCAACCACATGAGTGGAAGTAAGTCTTCTTTCTTAAATTTGGATGAAAGTTTTCAGTAGACTGTTAGTTTTGATGATTTATCAACTATAGTTGTGATGGGGAAAGGAGATATTAACATCAAAACCAATAGTGGCCTTGTGGAGACTATTTCTAATGTAATGTATGTTCCGAGCCTGAAAAATAATTTCTTAAGTGTTGGTCAGTTGCAAGAAAAAGGATATGTTATTATCCTTGATATAGGAGTTTGCGAAATATATGATGCTACAAGGACAAAGGCAATTGCAACTGTACACATGAGCTCTAACAGGTTGTATCCCATAAAATTTGAAAGCATCCAATCATGTTTATTGGCAGAAGCAAAAAAAACTCTTCATGGTTGTGGCATTTTCGATACGATCACCTAAATTTTGGAGGCTTGAAGACATTGCATCAAAAGAACATGGTGACAGAGAAGTGTGTGAAGAATGTGTTGTTGGCAAGCAACATCGGTCTCGGTACCCACGAGGCAAGTCATGGAGAGAAAAGGATGTATTGGAGTTGGTTCATTCAGACATTTGTGGTCTAATAAATCCATCTTCTAACGGAGAAAAAAGGTATTTAATTACTTTACTGATGATTTTTCAAGAAAAACATGGGCTTATTTTCTACAAGAAAAATCAGAAGCTTTTACCATATTTAAAAGCTTCAAAGCTCGAGTTGAAAATGAAAGAGGAAAGTCCATTAAGACTATTCGAACAGATCGTAGAGGTGAGTATTGTTCGAATGAATTTAAAGCTTTCTGTGAGAGCCATGGCATTCGCAAGGAGCTCACAACAGCTAATACGCCACAAAAAAATGGCGTTTCAGAGAGGAAAAACAGAACCATCATCAACATGGTAAGAAGCCTGCTAACCAAAGGGAAAGTACCAAAACAATTCTGGCCAGAAGCTGTAAATTGGAGCGTTTATATTCTGAACAGGAGTCCAACTTTTTCTGTTCAAAATATGACCCCGGAGGAGGCTTGTAGTGGCAGAAAACCAACAATAGATCACTTCAAAATTTTTGGTTGCATCGCCTATGCTCACGTCCCTGATGAAAAGAGAAAGAAGCTTAATGATAAAGCTGAAAAATGCACTTTTCTTGGTGTAAGCGAGTCATCCAAAGCCTATGAGTTATTCAATCCACTATCGAAGAAGATTGTGACTAGTAGAGATGTTGTATTTGACGAAGACAACACTTGGGATTAGAGAGCATAACTACCTAAACAAGTTGTTTATGGTGATGATGATGATGGTGTTGGTTTAGTGGTGGCTGAAAACTCAGAAACTTCAAGTCCCTCAGCTGCTGAAGCATCACAGCCAGTTAATGAAGAAACAGGGGCACAATCAACACTCTTACCACAAGTTGCAGAAGCTAATGGATACGAAATTCAATCTACTCATCGTGTTAGAAGAAGGCCTACTTGGATGAATGATTATGAGGTAACCGGACTAAGCAATCCAATCACTCACTTTGCTTTAGTTGCAGACTGTGATCCTATGACTTATGACAATGCCATTAAAGAAGAAAAATGGCCAAAGGCAATGGATGATGAAATCCATTCCATTGAGAAGAACAACACATGGGAATTATGTGAGCTTCCTAAAGGACACGAAACAATCAGTGTAAAGTGGGTCTTCATGACGAAGTTGAAAAAAGACGGTGAAGTTGATAAGTACAAAGCCCGGTTGGTGGCCAAAGGGTACAAGCAACGACTACACGGAAGTGTTCTCTCTGGTTGCAGGACATGACACGATCAGACTGGTGGTTGCATTGGCTGCTCAGAACTCTTGGCCAATCTACCAGCTTGATGTCAAATCAGCATTTCTACATGGATACTTAAAGAAACAACTGTTCATCAAACAACCCCCTGGTTATATTACGACTAGAAAGGAGAATAAAGTCTATCCACTAAGGAAAGCCCTCTATGGACTTAAACAAGCCCCATGGTCTTGGTGTAGTTGCATTGATGCGTATTTTCTTAAGGAGGGATTTGTGAAATGCCCTTTTGAGCACACTATGTTTGTTAAAGTTGGAAGAAATGGAAAAATGCTTATTGTTTGCTTGTTTTTTGATGACCTCTTATTTACTGGAAACAATTCTACCATGTTTGGAGAATTTAAGAGGTCCATGATGAATGAAATTGAAATGTCTGATCTCGGTTTGATGCGCTATTTTTTGGAAATTGAAGTAACACAATCAGATGCTGGAATATTTCTTTGCCAAAAGAAATATGTGGGAGAAATTCTGAACAGATTCCAGATGAAGGATTGCAATGCAGTAAGAACTCCGATTGAGTGTGGCATGAAGTTACATAATGATGAAGATGAAAAAAAGGTTGACAGCACACTCTTTAAGCAAATGCTAGGCAGTCTGATGTATCTTACTCCTACAAGACCAGACATCATGTTCTCTGTGTGTTTACTTAGTAGATACATGGAAAATCCAACTGAGTTGCACTTATCAGTTGCTAAGAGAATCCTTTGTTATTTGCAAGGAACTCGAGATCTTGGTATCTACTATAAGAAGGGTATTAAAAATAATTTGTTGGGGTTCACTGATAGTGACTATGCATGTGATCAAACTGATAGAAGGAAGACGTCAGGCTATGATTTCATGCTTGGAACGGGTGTTATTTCTTGGGCATCCAGAAAGCAACAGATCGTTTCATTATCAACAACAGAGGCTAAATTTATAGCTGCTACAGCTTGTGCTTGTCAAGCCATTTGGCTTAAAAGGGTTCTTGAGAAGCTGCACTTTAAGCAATCTGGAGCTACTACAATCTTCTGTGACAACAGCTCAATAATCAAATTGTTGAAGAATCTAGTGCTACACGGATGAAGTAAACATATAGATGTAAGATTCTATTTCTTAAAGGAACTATGCAATGATGGAACAGTTGATCTTCTACAGTACAAGAGTGAAGACCAAGTTGCTAATATATTCACCAAGGCACTCAAGAGGGACTCATTTGTGAACCTCAGAAGCATGTTAGGACTATGGCACTGAACGTTGGCAACTTCAGTTTAAGGGAGGGTTTGTTGATATAAACTTGTTATTTAATTTATGCACGTGTGATTTCTTTTGTAGTTAAAAATGACCAGGACATAGGGTTTTTCCTTATTTTAAAAACAAGTGGAGAAGTAGGGTTTGTGACTGTTATAGGTTCTGTTTTTAGCTTTTCGGTTAGTGTGTTTGCCTATTTAAAAGGCCTCTGCGTATTTGATAAAAAATAGAATCTGGAGCTGCATATTCTTTTTCATAGTCTCTATATACTATCTTTTTTTTTTCTTCTGTCAGTCTTGTGTTTCTTTTCTTTTGTCAACTTTAACAACAGAAATAACTCAAGCCGGAAACCCGCCCATTCAACCAAGTAAGCAATTTAAGGTACTTTTTATGAAACATTACTTTGATATTCTTGACTAAATGATTGTATACACTCCCTCATTCCCATCAAATCGCTATTTTGACTTCACATATAGTTCGAGCAGTGGATTCAACTGTTTGTCATATATCCAGATTACCCTTCGGTGAAGATAGAGTAAAGGAATCTTGCAGACTCAAATATATACCATTTACTTATCTCTAATGATGATAGTGAGCAGATAGATAGTGAGCAGATAGACAGTGTTTTGACCTGGTAAATCCCAACAAAGATGTTGTCATTTTCTTGGGACATCTCTAAAACAAGTTTGTTGCAATTGTCATGGGATGGAGGGAGTGCAACATGTTAAACGTAAAGCAATGGAATGAGAGACCATGTTTTCACTACCTTCCCAGTCCCCAAGTGTCTCTGAACCATTTACTCTGATCTTGTGCATTTCAAATATCACAACAACGTGCTAGTAGGGGTGGTGATTTGGCCTGACCCGTGGGGAACCCGGTTTACCCGACCCGAACGGAGACAGGGATTCCCTGCTAAAACGGGTATCGGGGCCGGGGCCGGGGATCCCCGGTAGAGGCAAACCGGGGTTGGGGCCGGGGTCGGGGCCGGGTATTGTATCCCCCAACCCGATCCCCCCCCCCCGTACCCGGTAATATTGACCTACTTCATATTTGGGCTTTGGCTATGGAGTCTGGGCTTTTGTTTCATACACGCAGTAGGAGTCTAGGAGCAGACGAGCAGTATGGACACGTCCCTCAATTCTCTTCTCTTCTCATTCACACTCACACACCCTCCCTCGACCCTCGTCACCATGACTGTTGTTGAGATTGTTGTTTCCTTGCCGTCGACTAGCGTCACATCCACTCAAGACCCACAACCCTTGTCGGCCAGCTCGTCCTCGTCCAACCCACGACTCAATCGAGGAGTAATCAACCCACAACCACAACCCTAGTCGTCTTTTTCATCGAGTTGCAGCAGTGAGCCACAGCCATCAGTCGTTGGTCGTTCTTCGAGCCTTCAAGAATCAAGGTCAGTCTTTTCTTTTTTGTCAAACAGTAACACACAGTGTCTTAGCTGCTTTCTTCATTATTGCACAGGTACATTAGTACTTCCACAGTTACACACAGGTACATTAATACTAAGTATTTATATAAGTTTGCTTACTTATGAGTATTTACAGGCATTAATCCTCAAGAAATACTCAGTAGTGTTGATTTTGATGTTGGCTTGTTGCTCCATTATTAATAACACCCCTCCCCTAAAGAGTAATGAATTTATACTTTGTATAACTTTATTTCCTAAATTGCTTTTTCTAATTTCAGAATTGATGTGGGTTCTTTGAGTTATTCAATGCTACTAGATTAAACCCATTATGACATCATCTGTATCACTATATGACAGCATCTGTATAACATCATCTGTATAATTGAGTCCATCTTGAAAAATGTTTAAGGTTTTTTGAGTTATTCAATGCTACTATATTAAACCCATTATGATGGCATATGTGACTGTATGACTGTATTACTCATCACTGTATGACAGCATCTAACAGCATCTGACCATCTGTATGACATTGATAGCATCTGCATAATTGAGTTGATGAGTTCATCTTGAAAAATGTTTAAGGTTCTTATTGGAAACACTAGAGGATTGACTTTAAATAGTCAAACTTCATCACTTTTTTATGGAATGAATAGATTATAAGGAAATTTTTGGAGTTGGGTATGCTTGTTGGTTGGAGATTTGAGTTTATCTTGAAAATGCTCTTACTTGTTTGTTGGTTAATTAATGTTAGTGTTGAAAGGTAATTAATTAGTATTGAACTTTGCAACTTACAACACCCCCTAAAGAAAGGTAATAAATTACTAAATTAGTATTGAACTAATTAATGTTTATTGATTGTTGTTAAAGTTGTAGGGAGTGGTGGGTAACGTGGGTTATTCATCAACAATATGTTGTGTTTTAATTTGAATGTATGTCATTGTGCCTAATTTCATATTCTTTTTCTAAGGTGAAAATTTCACAAAACAAGAACATAGAAGATATTGGATGTAATGCTACGGAAGGAAACGATAAGGATAATACGACTTGTAATGACACAAACGAATCTGTAAGCATGCATATGGGTTCAAATATTATCCCCGAGACTGAAGTCAGTGAACCAGCAAACAATAGATTGAAATATGTTGTCTGGAACCATTTTGAAGCAATATATATTGATGGTCTTCGCCGATTTGCAAAATGTAAGTATTGCAATAAGCAGATGACTGGTAGACCTAATGATGGGACAACACATTTGAAAGATCACTTCAAGATATGTCCGAGGAGAGTTACAAAAGACATAAGGCAACATATTCTAGTTCAGGAGCAGACTGCTAAGGATGGAAAAACATCTTTATTGAGTAATTATAACTTTAGTGCTGAAAGCTCAAGAGATGATTTAGCTAAAATGATCATTCTTCATGATTATCCACTTTCTATTGTTGAGCATCATGGTTTTCGGAAGTATTCAAATGGTCTTCAACCTTTATTTAAGGTGCCTTGTAGAGCTACAATCAAGTCTGACATCATGAAGATATACGAAACAAAAAAAGGTTGTGTATTACGATATTTGGAAGAAAACGAAAGTAAGATTGCTCTTACTTCGGATATGTGGACAGCCGGTAACCAAAACAAAGGTTACATGGCACTAACAGCACACTACATAGATGCCAATTGGAAGTTACAAAATCGGATTATCTAACTTATTTCTCTTATTAGTATTTTGTGCTATTTTTATAATTCAATGTTAATATTCTCATTTTACTATATTCTTTGAATATTTGATGCAGCTTTTTGCATGTGCCATCTCCACACACTGCTGATGCATTTTCCCAAGTTATGATCGAGTGCTTTATGGATTGGAACATTGACAACAAGTTATCAACATTGACACTTGACAATTGTTCAACAAATGATGCTTTGGTTGACAGGCTCTTAGGTACTCTTTCTTTCTCCTCCTCAATTTTAAAGGGTAAGTTGTTCACATGAGATGTTGTACGCATATCATTAATCTCATTGTGCAAGATGGGTTTTCTATGATTGAGAAAGCAATCAAGAATGTTAGGGATAGTGTCTCATTTTGGACATGTTCTCCTAAAAGAGCCCAAGACTTTAGACTCATTGCACAACAACTAGGTGTGGATTGTGAAAGAGAATTAGTGCTTGATTGTAAGACTAGGTGGAATTCTGTTTATACAATGTTGAATGTTGCTTTAGAATACAAAGATGTCTTTACTCGTTTGAGCAAGAAAGAGAAAAATTATGTTTCTTTACCTAGTGAAGAGGAATGGAGAATGGTGACCGATGTATGTGATAAGTTAGGTTTATTTTATCGTGTGACCGAGACATTCTCCGGGACCAAGTATCCCACTTCCAACATGTTCTTCCCCTTGATCTGTGACATAAAATTGTCTATTAAGAGTTGCCAAGACGATCAAAATTACGTTATTAGAAACATGGCATCAAGTATGCTGCTTAAGTTTGATAAATATTGGAGAGTCATACATGATATGATGAGTGTGGCTATTGTTTTAGATCCTAGATATAAGTTAAAGTTGATAAATTATTTTTTCCCAAAGATTTATGGTGTGGACTCAAAAGATGAGGTTATGAGGATACAGACTCTATGTAATGATTTATTTGAGGAGTACAAAAAGAAACATGATTAGAATAAAAGGAAGGGACAAAGTGGCAATACTGTCTCAAGTGGGGGGAAATCTTCTTCAAACAAGGCCTCATGGCAATTGGATTTTGAGAATATGATCTTTGAGGATGACATGCTTGAAACGACTTAGTTGGATGATTATTTGTCAGAGAAATTGTTACCGCAGGATGAAGGGTTTGATATATTAATGTGGTGGAAGTGCAACGGTGCTAAGTTTCCTATCATGCAGCGGATTGCGAGGGATGTGTTGACCATTCCTATTTCAATAGTAGCTTCAGAATCGGCTTTTAGCATGAGTGGAAACAAGGTAACGAAACAACGAAGTCGACTAAAATCGCAAACAATTGGAGCTTTGATGTGTAGCCAAAGTTGGTTAAGAAAAGAAATTGAAGGTAGTAATTATATAAATTGTTTGTTACAATAATTACGTTAATTGGTATATACAATTTTTCTGACTTGCTATTTTATTTCAGATAAAAAGCACAGAGAACCAAAAGGATTTGATCAAACGATTGCATACAATGAAGATGTTGATTGTTGAGGGACTAAATAACTACAATTATGTGTTGCTTGAAAAAAAACTTGTTTTGAATTTTACATCTCATTGGATTATTGTTAATTTTACAATATTATTATTTTTATTAGGCAAGACTAAATACAATGTAACGATGATGATGTTGTTTGGAAATTATTAATTTTAATTTTACCGGGTGTTGACCAAAAATTGACCGGGGCCGAAAAATTATTCCCCGTACCCGCCGGGGCCGGGGCCGATGGCTATAAAGGCCGGGGCCGGGGATTGTAAACCCCACCCCGTACCATGCCTACATGCTAGGTATTGCAGCGACATGGAAAATGTACCATCTTATGCTAGAGCTTGTATCAATGCATGTCTTTATATTAACAAAATAGGACAACCACATGATCATACCCACACTAATTCAGAGACAGATCAATTGCAACACATGTGTATTTCTAACTATGTGAAACAGTCTAAAGTTGCTTCCATGAAGTCTATATACTATTCTTTCAGATTGCCACTGCTTCAAATGGTAGCAAATAAATTGTTACATGATAATTAATGCTTGCATTCCAAATCTAAACAAGATGCAAGTGTCTCACTCTTATGATTTTTGACATTTTCATACTCGTCTTTTTGTTGTTTACGTTGTTTTGGTGAATATAATATCCTTGTTTTTTATTGTGCAATTGTAGGGATCAAGATTGATTGTTTTTGAGTTGGTGCTGACAAAATACTAGCCACTCTCATAGCAGATTCTGCAGCTGCTGCTTTAATGAAAGTTCGACACGTGCATGGTGTAATTGTTGGAGCTGATCGTGTTGCTGCCAATGGTAAGTTCTTGCTATAATACAATTCAAGTAATGAAACGCATGATTGGTACACAAGGGTAAACTTACCAGCATCGAACAAAAGAACATAAGTGCATATATTCTCCATGCTTTGTCTAGAACTGTGCAAGATCGATGAAAGATTTTAAATACATTGAAGGATAAAATACTTGGAGGACAAACCATAAAGCCTACAGAATATGAGATAAGACAGTAAGTAAAACTACAATTGAGTAACACAAACTAATTGATGGAAGGTCTAAACTAATAGCTTTATTTCTCCTCGTGTGGCTGGTGGGTATCTTGGATCTGAACTTTCCGAATCCCTGGTATGTGATTTTGAATTTACGGAATCATCTTTTTTTGGTGATTTGGTGTCCATGGTCCCATAAATTTGCAGAATTTTTTGGTGTCCATGGTCCCATAAATTTGCAGAATTTTTTGGTGTNTTTGGTGTCCATGGTCCCATAAATTTGCAGAATTTTTTGGTGTCCATGGTCCCATAAATTTGCAGAATTTTTTGGTGTTAAGGTTAGAGTTGCTCTTAGAGTGCAATGTATGTTGTTGAAAGCCTTCTAAAAGTGTTATCTTCATATCATGGAGTTTTTATTATCCATATCAAACTTTCAATATTGTATAATATTCTTGATACTAAAGGCAACTTACGGGTGCTTTCCTCAAATGCTTGTGTCTTTTATAGATGAACAGATGGGAGAAATTTATATCAGACTTTTTTTTTATTATATTTGGCTTATTATGAGAGGTGATGCAAAAAAAATTCGGCTTCCTTGTATTTCCATTGGTACCATTTTATGAGACTATATGCATGTTTCGTATTGGGGGTACAAGAATCGCCCGCCCGCCCGAAGAGGAACCACCGCCCAATGGTGCTTTTGCGAAAGTCGCCGGCAATCCGCTCTTATCCCTTGGTGTCAAAGGGGCGGATGCCTCCTAAAGAGTAACGGAGGTCGTTATAGCTACGTCGTTGGGCGGCTGGAAGGTTGCCATGCATTACCAACAACAGATTTTACTCTCTTAAGCCTACTTTGGTTTTTCCTTCTCTTTTCACAACTTGCAGTTCAAAATCAAACTTCTGAGTGGTTACATTTCAAGCTATAACATATCATCAATCTTAAGAACAAAAGTATTACAGCGTCATACACAAACTTCGTTGTCTTTAGACGGTTTAATGTACAATTGTTTCCCTCTAGAGTTGTACAAAATTGTATTAGCTGGTAGTTTCAAAGTTATTGGTAAACTGTGGAAATTGGTTTAAACCAAATCTCTCCAAAACCAAACCCTTTGAACATTGGTGGTTGTCCAAAACCAGGCCTGCAATTGATATCACTGTTGTCCCAAAAAACAATAAATGATTATTTCCCCTTTTACATTTGCTTGAATGTTTCACTTCAGATTATATTTAGAGTATTTTCCAAAAGTGTATGTAAATTGGCAATAAACGTTTCATCCTATATGCTTACAAGTATTATTTAGTGTACTATAAAGTCGACTCTGGTTTCATCATATTAGAAAATATGCACGTCTTATCTTAGATTATTGATGTTTACCTGTCTGCAATTATCGTTAGAAGGACCGACTCACGATGAAATCTATTTCGAGTTCTTGGGGAACACTACTGGCGACCCTTGTATCCTGCACACCAATGTGTATACTCAGTAAAACGGGAACAGAGAGCAACAGCTGTACTCTAGTTTGATCCAACCAAGAACTACCACACCTACTGCATCTGCTGGGATTGAAAACAGATAGTGTAAGCAAATAGCATGAATCTGAACACATGGTTATGTGGTTGTATTGAGGACCCAACTTGTAAAAATGTAGGTGTTTATCTTTTGGAATCACTATTTTTACATAGAAAACTTTACGTGGCGTTGTCCAGAAAGATATCATGAGGCAATACGAAGGTGTTAGTGAAGTCAGGGAAAATATGAAATCGTGCTATTACACATCAAACGTCGTCTATCAATACAATTGCGCGCTTTTTACATGACATGTTTACAGATGAGCGCTTTACGGAAACTAAACCACATTCTGGATATACGGATGTGTATTATTTACAGATGATTGTAATTCTTTGTTTTGTTCAGATAGGTGAAAAGACCAAATTGTCCCTTGCATGAGGGGCACATGGCACTCATGACGGTAGCTTTTTGGACGGAAGACGATTTTTAGACCACCAATGTACTTTATGATTTCGAGAGACGAAACCAAAAAAAAGATATTCACGAGGGACCAAATGTGTAATTCACTCTAAAATAATTGCTAGAAAGAAAAAAATGTCTTTTGTTGTTTTATAACTAATTATATGAGCATTCGTGATATATTCATTGAAAATGTTATGGAGTTGTGTTCTTGGAGAAAATTATGTGAGCGGGGTGGAAGTTTCTGGTAAAAGGAGATTTAGTGAAAGAGGAAATTGAATCTCATTTTTGTCGATCATTACACATTTCATTATGGAAATATTTAAAAGAAAATTAATTAAAATAGTCATTTCGGTTTGTAGTTTTATCTCTTAATTATTTCTCTTCTAAAATTATTAAAACGTCTGCAATTTGCGGATCAAAGTATAAAAAAATGAAATTTCCGAACTAGGTATGCAAGTACAAAGGACAAATCTATAAAATTGATATAGGTCCACAGGTCTATGTACAGATGGAAACAGGGCGGATATTGGACAGGTAATGCATCCCCCATTCCCAACCCTGATCTCTGTTTAAGCCTCTCGTCCCTGACCCCCCCCCCCCTGACTAATTCCCGACGGGTCTGGGGGAAGAAATCTGAATCCGCTGGTAAGATTTTGATCTGTATCATATTCATTCATTAAGTTAATGTGATTTGATAAACACTTACCTAGATAAATTTTTGATAAACCGCTCTCAATCTCCCCTACATGTTTGTTATGGGAAGGTGGGTCGTCAATTAGTTGGACAACTTGATTTGGAACACATACACATTCCATCGAGTTTATCAATCTAGAGACTCTAGACATTCTTTCCAATAGTAAGAATATATAAATTAATAATTATAAATAAATAAAATACAATTTATCTTGTTTTATAAATAATTGATTTATAAAGACATTAAAAATGAATTAGTGAAGCAAAAGTGCAAGTAGGTTTTTGTTGGTTATTCGTCTTAAGTTAGTGTTACTTGATAAAGTAGCCGATTAAATAGTTATATATATATATATATATATAGAGAGAGAGAGAGAGAGAGAGAAACGATCAAATGAAAAACACTCCAATTTGTAAAAACCGTAAAAACTACTCTCATCTGTCGTTAAT